GGATATTATTAACCAGTATTAGATCCAGTTTTTTTATAAATACCCAAAATTCGTAGTCCATTAATTACCTTCGTTAGAAGCAGCTTGTCGACGTCGTCCCATTCATTGGCCGATGCTCGAACTTCCAATGCGATTTTTTGATACTGTCTAGAAGAGACGTCGTGCAGTTGAGATAAAATCGTAGGAGACATCAACGTACCCTCGGGCGAACTCGCGTGAGTCCTGCACGCGTGTTTTAAACAATCGAGAACGGACGAATTCAATTCGACGCTCTCGTTACCGTCTATTTTTTTCACTGCCATTTGCCATTCTATGTGTTCAAACGTATAAATCATGATTAATTTCGAATTTCCATTTGTTTAGAAGTAGAATATATATTTACCGAGCAATTTTATGTATGATTGTACGAACGAAGCCTCCTTGCAATCGGTTAACGAGGAGAATTGAGTCTTGTAACAATTCCGAAGTTTGTACAATAATCTGTCAGGGTCTCTGGTATTTTTTATAATAATATGCAACATCTTCATCAAAAATTATAGATCATTATACGTACGTTAAAATATCTGTGATTTCATTCAGCTGTAATCGTATCGACAAGTATCGTACGTAAACCTTCACAGCGTCTGGCCTCTCTGCTAACATCCTTTGGAGTAAAGCTCTTTTCAGAGTTTTCGTTAAAAACAAGATGATCTAAAAACTTTTTCGTCAGTATATATAAAAAAGAATTTACTTGATACACAGGGTACAACAAAATTTTTCGATTTCTCGAGATTTCGGGTTAAAAATTGGAGTGAATGTTTCTTTTTTGATAGTGCAAATGGCGCTCCATTTGGCTAAAGGGCACCCTTGACCCTTTTAGGTACGTCTTATAAAATGCGACAGACGTGATAAGAATCGAGTGAAAATACGTAAAATCATATAACTCGACGAGTTCCGTTACTTCTGTTCCACCCTGTGGCACAGAAATATAGAATAATCACTATTAAAATTGCATTTCCATCCCCGCTGGTAACCGCTGCGTCCAATAAAGCAGTTTTACTAGCGAGCGATTTGTACTGCTCCAAAGTGTACGGTTGTCCAAGTAAAATTTTTCTCAAAGTAATATCTGGCTGAACCGCAGCCGTTTCTTGATGAACATTTTGCAATTTATCGGTAGCCAAAACTGCAATATAAACCCAGTTTTAATTCGACATATAAATTTATGTTCACCAGTCGATAAATAATTAATATTATATCGGACGTCTTAATTAACGATAAATCATTTTACTGACATACTGCAAGAAAGAGTTTTTTCCGAAATTATAGAGAGCATAGGCTTCAGGGGTTGATAATCAGTGGCAGTCTTTAAACTCTCCTCGGATTGAGATGCGTTTGATATACCCGCCCATAATCGGTCCGTGTCGGTTTTCGACACGCCGAACAATTGGTCCACCTAGTATATAATAACAAAAGACAGACATTAGAAAATTGAACGTTAGTAACTAAAAATTATAATTGAATTACGGTGGATCTGGATTAACCTCGTTGTTCTCGAAGCAAAACGATCGCTTCTCGCTGCTGTACCAGAAATCTTCGTCATCCTTCGCCGATGTCATAACGCCGATATTGTATAAGGGATGAAAATCATGTACTTATTAAATACACCCCCGGACAACGAGTTAAAAACGATATTTCGTATTGTAAGAATAGATAGAAAATTGCGTTGGCAGCAACAGGCACGTAATATGAGAATCTGAAGAACGGTTCGTAAATTGCGTGGGTGGATGGAAGGAAGGTAGGGGAAAATGGAGGAACGGACAGCCTGACAACTCATTTCAGTGGTGCGAGCCTACCTTACCGATATTCTAGCGAGAACGCG